TGTTTTTCTTTCTCCGTCTATTATGATTGATAGTTTTGGTGGGCATAAAATGCAGACTGACGTATGTGGTCTCTTAGAGTCTGTATAACATCTGTCTAGGTCCTTCTGAATTTTAGCGTCTCCATTGAGAAGTCAGGTATTCTAATAGGTTTGCCTTTATATATTACTTTGTCTTTTATCCCTTGCAGCTTTTAATATTTCTTTTTCTGTACATTTAGTGTTTGACTATTATATGTCATGAGGAATTTCTTTTCTGGTCCTGTTTGGTGTTCTGTGTGCTTCTTGTCCCTTGATAGGCACCTCTTTCTTTAGGTTAGGGAGTTTTCTTCTATGATTTTCTTGAAAATATTTTCTGTGTCTTTAACCTGAGTTTCTTCTCTTTTGTTTATTATTCTTATATTTTGTCTTTTTCATAGTGTTCCAGATTTCCTGGATGTTTTATGCCTAGAATTTTTTTTAATATTTCCTTTAGCTGAGGTGAGGTATTGATTTCTACTATCTCATCTTCAATAACCGAGATTGTCTTCCCTGCCTTAGACTTGATTGGTGAGGCTTACCTCTGAGGTTTTTGTTTTACTTTAAATTTTTTTCATTTCCAGTTTTACCTGAGTTTGGGTTTTCTTTACTGATTCTGTTTCTTTGTTAAATTCTAGTTTCCTGTCATTGTTTTCATTTTTCATTCAACTACTTGTGTTTTCATAGACTTGGGGGATTTATGCATATTTTCTCTAAGGTCTTTGAACATATATAATAGCTATTTTGAAGTCTTTGTCTTGTGCTTCAGCTATATTGCATTTCTCGGGGCCTGATGTAGCAGAGCTGCCGGATTCTGGTGGAGGTATATTGTCCTAGCTGTTAATGGCTGTGTTATTGCACTGATGTCCAGGCATCTGGGGTTGGGGTAATTGAGGTGACTCTAGGTGTTGACATCTGGTCTTGTCTTTGTTGCATGGGTATTCTATTCCTTACTACCATTGGCTTCTCAGGATCTTAGGAAAGTGTGGCTGCTGTGGGTTGCCTGGTAGGATGCCTGGTAGAGAGTGCTTATGCAGGTTGGTGGGTAGCTTAGAGGAATAGAGGTGGGTTAGGAGAAAGGCTTAGAGGACTTTAAGAAAGAGCTGGTGGAGTCCTGTTCACATCTGGAGGTTAGACTCAGGAGGAGCTGGGGATGTGGTGGGAAGAGAGAATCCTAAAAGTAGGTCGCGGTAAGGCAAAGAATTATCTGGAGAGACCGGAGTGAATGGGCCGGAGGATTCCTGGTTCTGAAGTGAGAGCTGAGTCTCCAGTCAACGCAGCTGAAGTGGGGGGAGGGCACTTGTAAACACGCTGTTACTGTCTGAGGGGGAGAATGGGGAGAAAATGGAGGGCAGGAAGGACAGTGTGATTCACCTTGAGTCACTGCCAGGTGTGGGAGTCCCAGGCAGAGAGTGTTCCTAGGTTTGGGGGTCACCATGAAGGAATGGGGATGGGTGAAGGGGTCGAGAAGGTTCACAACGAGGAGGAAAGCTGGGTCTACTCCAAAATTTGACAGAGTCCCCTGTGAGTGGAGGTAGGATGGGAAGACTGGCCCCTGCAAGAAGGTGGCTACAGGGCTGGGAACGAGACTGGAGCAGTTGTCATGGGGGATGGAAATGGGAGAACCATATATCTGAGCCCCAGCCTGCTGGGGCCGCTAGAGTTTCTAGGTGTAGGCAGCTGGCACAAAGTGATGAGAGAAAAGAGGTTGACTGGATCTTCTGTGAGGTTTGCTGGAGACCACAGAGACTGGAGGCAGGGTGGAGGGCAGGTCCCTGCAAGCAGGGCTGAGGATGAGGATGGAGAAACTGCAATGGCAGACAAAGAGGCAGAGTGGAAACTGCCTGCTTCCTAGCCAGAGTGGCCACGGGGCTCCCAGGTAGAGAGAGGTGCTAGGTATAGTGGCTGACACAGAGATGGGGTGAGGGAGGAAAGATGTGTCTGAAGCAAGGTCTAGCAGAGTCCCCAGGGAATATGAGTAGGGCCCTCGGCTATTTTACATCGCTTCTGGGGATCAAACCCAGGTCCCCATGCTTGCTCAATGAACACTTTACTTTATGGAGCCAACTCCCCAGCCTGAGTTTTCTTTGGGAGTGTATTTTGTGTGTTGGGGTAGTTTTAGGGGTGTGTGTGTGTGTGTGTGTGTGTGTGTGTGTGTGTGTGTGTGTGTGTATGTGTTCAGATCAAACAGGAAAATACACTCCAAAAAAGGCCAGTGATAGTAGAAGCACAAGGGGAGTTTGGTCAGAAGCACACATCCTCCTGCTCTCATCCGTGAGTAATGCACGCGCACACACACACACACACACACACACACACATCTTCTGAGTCTTCAAATGCTTCCCTAGTCACCTGAATACCAGGCTTGTACTCTGGGCTACTACAGCTAGTACACACACACACACACACACACACCCTACCCTGTTATGGTAGCCAGCCAGTTGGCTCAGTGGGTAAAGGTGCCGGCCACCAGGCCTCACATCTTGAGTTCTGAGTTTGGTCTCCTGAACACACAAAGTGGAAGCAGAGAATTGTCTTCCACAAGTTGCCCTAACCTCCCTTCATGTACCGCGACAGGAGCACACACACACACTGAACAAAAACGTAATATAAAAATGTGTATTTTTCATTTTTTATTTTTATTATATATATAAATACATAGAGAGCATTCGTGTGTCTAAAGTCCTATATTGTTTTGAAATGTAGCAACGAATTTCTTCCCCTCTCCTCTTCCCCACTGAATCTTTCCTTGTGCTACAATGGGCATGGGCGGGAGAGGCTTAGGAGGGTTGTATGCATTCATTACTGGTTACTATGGTTACTACAACGAAATGACTGAAGAAGGCTTTATAGGAAAAGGTTTATTTAGCTCACAGTTCAGGTGGCTAAAGTTCACAGTTGGGTGGGTGGTACTGTGGGGACACTCTTTGGAGAGTGTGGTGGCAGGCGGCATCGTGTGGGAACTCTTCCAAAAGTAACAGGAAGCCAAAGAGCGGAGTACAGGCTGGCTTGCTCTTTCTGTAACAATCCTCTGGTAAGAACCAACTACAGTCAACAGTAACCACTTCTGAGGGAAGGGCCCCAGTGACCTGGCAAGCACCTTACTAATGAAGCCGTCACCCCAGCCTGAGGATTATTTGATGACAGGAAGAAAAGCATATTGCAAAATTGCCCTGCAGTGTGCTCATAATAGTGTGCAACAAAAAGTTAACTCTCAGCTGATAAAGATGCTTGCTGCCATACCTGATCACATGAGTTTGATCCTTAGTACTACATGGTAGAAGGAGAGAACAGACTCCCACAGGGGTTATCCTCTGACCTCCACACATACCACGGCACATGTGCATGTACATGCACACGCACACACACACACACACTTTTAAAAATGGTTGCTTCCTCACTGTCTGAGAACGAAGAGGAAGCTAACCTCATCCATGAAGCAGCCGCATCCAGTGGTCTGGGACACTGACATGGTAGCAGTCAGAAGGCTCTCCTGGGAATCAAATCTTATAGTTAGTTCATCCAGTTGTCAGAAAGAGACAAATTCTAATTTACCTGGGGCTCCGCCTGAGAAGACAAGACAGTCTAGGTCTTCCTCCCCTCATCCCAACACACCTCTTCCTATCTCTTCCATTTGTGTTTTCCCAACACTCCCTCTACAGGTGAGGGATTTGGGTTCAAACCCTAGCCCTAAGTAGGTGAATGGCCAACTGAGTCTTGGTCCTTTCTGTAACCTGCAGAGTGAAGCTAATGTGAGAGGCTTGCACCTGAGGACATTTGCCATTTTTACCCCCTTTCTTGGATGCTGGTCCTGTGATTAGTTCCTCTTGGCCACTGAGTCACAACTCAAAAGGGTACCTCCTCAACAAGTTCCTCCCTCCCTGAACGTCCTCTCCACGGCATTCCCCTGCCTCATGTCTGCAAACACTGATCCCTCCCTGAAATGGTGCTGTGCCTGCCTGATTATTGCAACCTAGAAACTAGCCTTGGTGAAGTGCACTGATCTTGTGTCTTGTGCACCATTGCCCATTGCTAATTACATGAGTCAGGCAGGCACCCACTGGCACATTTTCACTCTGTTTTGTCTACCCAAAGAAGTCCATGTACTTTGCATAGGAGGCGAAGGGTGCTATCAGAAGAGTAGGGGGTCATAATGAAAACTAATTCCAAACCACTTTTCACTTAGACACCCTCATGGCTGGTGAGAGGGCAAGAGGCATGTTTTAGAGAGAAATTACTTGTTCAAGGGCAGGAAGGCAGACATTAAGGACCAGCCTGTAGGCCAGAAGGTTCAGAAGAATAAAAAGGCAACATTAGGTATGGGAAGGAAACGGAGTGGGGGACCAGAGGAGTGGTTGCAGTTCTGAATCTCGATGCCATTTAATTTTAAATTTTAAAATTATTGGGTGCGGGCAATGCACATGCCATGGATTGCACGTGTGGAAGTCAGAGGACAACTGGAAGGCGTCTATCCTCTCCTCCTACCATGTGGGTTCCAGACTTCCAACTCAGGATGTGAGACTTAGCATCAAGCAGCCCGCTGAGTCATATCACCGGCCCTTGAGGCCAGCAACACACTGTAGTTTTTATTCATTCCACAAATAGAAGTTAAACACCTCCTGTGGGGTTTAGGTGATTCAGAACAAGCCTGGCTTGGGCAGTCCTGTCTCTGGTCGACGCTTAGTGTGTGTTCTAGATGGGTCAGGACTCATCCGGGCTGGCAGAGTTTCTGGTGTCCTTGTCCTCTCCGTGTCTGGGTAGCAGGGGTTACCTGCCCAGAACAGAGACAGATGGGAAATTTCTGTCATCATTAAGGTTTATTGACCAGCGCGGCTGGAATTTCCCAGAGAGAGGAATTAATCTCGCTGCCGACTGAGAGCAGGCGTCCTGCTGGGAGTAGTTACATAAATTCTGTTGCTCAAATTAATTAGGATTGTGATTCATTTGTTTAATGAATCTGATGGCGAGAGGCAAGGCAGCCTAGTCTTGCAGAGCTCAGCCAATCCCGGGTGACAGTACGGCAGATGGGGTGGGACCAGGCCCGGTGCTGGCCGCTGATGGGCAGAGACAGCCAATGAATGCGGAGGTGGAGGAGAAGCCGGTGGGAGCCGCTGCTGTCCCCCAAAGCTAGTGGCTGGGACGACTCTCAGGCCCCCAGCTTGGAAAGCTTTCCCAGCTTCGCCTAGAGGCTTCCGACCTCCTGCTTCCTCTGTGCGGAACAACTGAGAACAGCTGAACGCGCCTCATTAGCACTCAGGACCGATCCACCCATTTCCTCCTGCCACCCCCAAACGCCAGACTCTTGAGCTTCTTGCAACAACACAAAGTAGGAACAGATAGAATGCCCGGGCTTACTCACACCTGCTTAAGAAAAGACCCCTCCCCTTTACCCAGACTCCCCTGCCTGCCTGTGGAAGGGCAGCCCACCCTTTAGTCGCCGCTGGGAGCACCTTCCCCGCGCCTGGGAGCCTGGGGGTCAGCAGCAGTTACAGAGGTAAGAGACAGGGAAGTGGCCCGAGGAAGATAGCCCTGGGTGAGGATGGAGGGAAGTGGAAAATGCCCGACTCCAGGGGTCAGTGATCGATTGATAGTCTGTGTGGGTAACACTCTTCGGGATAAGATAGAAAAGGTACTTCCTGACATCCCTCGAGAAAAGAGGTTCAGGTCGGAAGATGTTTTGAGTGAGTTTGAAGGATTTGCTGATGGAGTGGATGCTGGAGAAGAAGAGGCTAGAGAATTAGGTAAGTTTGGGGTCTTTATCCATTAGTGCCACACCTGCAGGAGTCCTCCCCGGGAGCCATGTTTTCTTTCTTTCTTTTTTTTTTTTTTTTTTTTTTTTGGTTTTTCGAGACAGGGTTTCTCTGTGTAGCTTTGCGCCTTTCCTGGAACTCACTTTGTAGACCAGGCTGGCCTCGAACTCACAGAGATCCGCCTGGCTCTGCCTCCCGAGTGCTGGGATTAAAGGCGTGCGCCACCACCGCCCGGCCATGTTTTCTTTCTTAATGGGACTGACCAGAAAGCAACGAGTTGGACCCAACAAGACTTTTCATGTACCAGAAATATTAGAAGGGCATGTGTCCTGCTGGCTTAGCCCATACTTCCTAGACGCCTCTCCTGGAACTCAGTTACTAGGAGCCAGTATCCAAAACGGAAAGAACTGATAGAAATGCTTGGGCCCGCTAGGCCTCAGATTCCCTGGCTTCCGAAGGTGCCTGCTGACTCCTCTCAGTGGCCAGGGGGAATCAAAGCGTCAGTGTTTCTTGTCACTCATCATGCTTTATCTCTCTGAAAGACTTCCCAGCATATGCAGAATTAAAAACCTCACCAAAGCCATCCAGCCTAAGATAGGAGGGTCTGACCGGCCCCGCTCTGGTTACCTCAGCCTCCTTGCTGGTCACCCTCTGTCTACACTAGTGTTCCTTTCCTCCATAAAGTGTCCCAACCGTGCTGTAAAGCCCTGGCACTGGCTGCTCTCCTTGCCTGTGCTGTGGTTGGGATGTGGATGCATTACAGAGGTCTGACTGTTGGAGACAATGTTGAACTGGTACCACTGTTACTGAAAGGCCTGGAGATCATCTGGTTGCCAAGGGCTAAGGCAATTCTCATGTACCCCTGAGGTGGTTCTCAGGAGAAGGCTGCTAGGAAAGAGCCTGGCTGATGTGTCCTTCTACCTCATCCTGTGGTCCCCTCGTGCATATTCTTACCACAGAGAAGCCATCTACCATAAAGCCTTCACCAAAGCCAGCCTGATGCTGGCGCCATGCCCTTGACCCTTCAGAACTGCGAGCTGCACAAAACTCTAAAGCTACCCAGCACAGAGTATTTCATTATAGTGCTATAAAGTGAACCAATGCCACGTGCAGCATTAGTGGCTGGGGGTACAGAGCTGAAAGGGGAACTCCAACATCAAGGTTGGCCAAAGAGCATTAAGCAAGGCTTTCGAGCAGGAGTGACGGGTTCAGAGCTGAGATGATGAATTTGCATGGAGAATGGAGGTTAGAGATGCTTAGAAAGCTGTTAGAATAGTCCTCCAGTAAGTGGTATTTAGATATTCAAAATACCTCCCTGGGTAGTGGTGATGCATACCTTTAACCCCAGCACTTCGGAGGCAGGGGCAGGCAAATTTCTATGAGTTTGAGACCAGCCTGGTCTACAAAGTGAGTTCTAGGACAGTCAGGACTGTTCACAGAGAAACTCTGTCTCAAAAAAACCAAAACCAAAACAAAACAAAACAAAAAAAACCCCTCAGGATTACAAATTAAGGACTCCCCTTCCAAAATCTTGCCCTGTGTCCTTCAGAGAGGACAAACATTATCCTCACATGGCAAAACACTTCTCTGAAGTCTGTGTGTGCCTTGTCACAAAACTGATGTAGTAGTTATTATCCTGACATCTAGAATCACCCAGGAAAAAGGCCTCTGGGCATGCCTTGTTGGGGAGTATCTTAACTGAGCTAATCGAAGTGAGAAGATCTGACCACTGTGGGTGGCAACATTCCCTGGGCTGGGCTCTACCGACCTACACTATATAAAAAGGATGTGAGCTGAGTAAAATCATTCTGTCTCTTGAGTGTGGGTGGAGGGTGACCAGCTGCCTCAAGCTCCTGCCTATGTCACTTCTCCACCATGATAGATTCAGTGAACCTTTAAGATGCTTTTAGCAGGGAACCTGAGCAACAGGAAAATAGTTAGGATAACTAGGAATCTTAGTTAAAGGCACAAAACTTGAGAGGTAGGGAGGCTGCCAAGGAGCTGGGATCCCTGCATGGAGACCATCTATCACAGGATAGCCAGGCCTTGGATCCTGAGAAGTGGCCAGTTCCTTGCACCTGCCCCTCCAGAATGTGAAAATGTTCAGCGTTGGAAGGGACCTTCAGCTGCCCGTTCCCCCATATCTCAGCAGGAAACAGGACTCTGTTCTAATAGGTCAACTGAAGACTCTCTAATGAACTGTTTATAGAGAGATGCACAGGATTAAAGATGCCAAGGAGGATGCTGGGAAAGCTGGAGACTGCAGACGGCTGAAACCACCGAGGCCCCCAGGAGTGTGGCTGGACCTAGAGAAGGCTGGGGACGGGCAGAAGAGCTGTGTGCAGGAGCTTAAGCCAACAGAGGGGCAAAGAGCATTCCCATCTCCTCCTTCCCTCCAGCCTCCTGCCAGTGCCTTCCATTGGCCAAAGCACACTGGAGCCAACCAGCAGGGAGCCTCGACTCCTCTGCAAGGTCAGCTTTCTGAGGCACAGGACAGGGGAAAGGAGGAGAGATCTCAGCCTGCCAAAGCCAGAAAGCAACGGGCTGGAGGATCTGTGTCCACCCTGCTGGTTTTTTCTAAAGCAATGTCAGAGAGGAGGCAACTTGGCTCTTGTGGGGCAAGTCAGGAAAAGGCCCTTGGTCCCTCTCCTTGTGGTCAAGTTTCATAGAAAACGGGTCTCGCCCGGAACCACCGCTGTAAAGGGAGGCGGCAGAACAAGGACAGTGAAGGGTGGCCCCTGAGAGGAAGACGGCCCCCCAGAGGATGCCCCCCCCGAGGATGACGGCCCCCCCCCAAGAGGATGGTGGCCCCTCCCCCAAGAGGATGGCGGCTCCCCGAGAGGATAGTATCCAAGAGCTGCATCAAGAAGTTGATGGGTGCTTCTTCCCTGTCTCTTCATGGTCTACCTGATACCTGCTTCTGCCCCATTTCCCTAGGCATGGAGACAAGAACACAGTCCTGAGGCTGGCAGGGACAGAAGGAGGAGACTCTTGTCTGCCTGATAGCCAGCCCCGACTCATCGATTCCCTGGGGCTGCTTACTGATCCGGCCCAAGGTGGTTTAACTGAAGTCCTTACAGTATATGGTGCAGAAAAGCAACACCCTTAGTCTGTCAAGAGCCGCCAAGAAACGGAGCTGGGAGGGAACCCTGTGAGAGCGAGCAAGAGCAGTCGGACGACAGCTGTTGGAAAGGGGCTGAGACCAAGAAGCCACAGAGTCCTGGCCTCAGTCAAGTCTCTGCCCTCTGAGCTGTTCTGCCCTTGTCAAGGCCTGGGAAGAGCCGAGACCATGCCTGCATCTCCTGCCCCGCCCCAGAGCGTCCCACTCCATTCTCACTGCAGCCTCCCAGGCACTTGCTCCTCCAGGCCACCTGGTGACTCACACTTCATTCAAGCTGCTCTCTTCTCCTGCAATGCCCTCCATTCCCTGTCCCTTGGCCCCTTTGAGCCGCCTCCTTTGGGAAGACTTCCCTGGCCCAGCCTCCCTTCCATAAGTGTCCCATCATGATGGCCACCCGGTCCCCTTCTCTCTCATGCCGGACAGTCTCCCTTTCTCCCCTGGCTTAGCTTCTCTTGTAGATACAAGGCAGGAACTGTGTTTTTCTCACCTTCGCTTGCCTAACAGGCCTCACTGGGATCAGGTTATGAGAGGAAGCAGCAGGTGGAGAGAGGAGGAACTAGGGCCCAGAGGTGGGCACAGCCAGGCACAGCAGTCGCTGATATCAGCTCCTGTGTGGCCCTGAGCTCCCTCCCAGCTAATTAGGATGGAGCATCCGTCATACGCTTGTATCTTTAGCAAGGGACACAGCCTTCCCTGTGCCTGGGCCCAGCTGGCTCTCTGCTCAGACTCATAAACTTGTAACTGACTCAGTAACAGAGGACATAGGAGCTGTGCTGTGAAATCATAAAATGAGCATGAGAAGGAATCTTATCATGTGGAGAGAGTGAGGTCTCCATGATCCCAGTCCAAGACATGGGAGTCTGGGTAGCTTCCTCCTGGATGTCTTGGCATGTTCATCTCAGAACCCAAGTGTCACATGATGAGAAGCCCCAGCCATGAGAGACACTCTGTGTAGGTACTCGGGGCAACAGCACCAGCCGCCAGCCATCTCACGGGAAGAGAGGCCCACCTTAGACACCCAGTCTGTGCAGCCTTCGGACTCCAGACCCTGGCACAACCACACAACTGAACCTCCCAGCTAAGTTCAGCTAATCCATGAAACTGTACGGGATAGTTTACACTTCAAGAAACTTCTTGCATATAGATGCCACTTTACAGGTGAGCAGCTGCCACCCAAACTGTCATGTGACTTACTGAAAGCCTCGAGGCCATCAGAGTCCATTACCCCAACTGCTGTCACCTTACCCCACCACCAGAAAAGGTAGAGAAGTGAACTCTCCAGAGCAGAAGAATTTTGTCGAAAACATCCCAGATGAATCCCATTTATGAAGGAAATTGTTCTCTGTGTGTGGTTTTTGTTTTCAGTCTTCCGAATAGTGTCTTGGAGTTTATAGAGTTAATTGTTCTTATTTCAGCCTTGGGTTGATTATATCTCCCCTGTCCCCCACCACCCCTCTTTCCCCCCCCAACCCCCCCCCCCCCCGCCAACACACACACACCTTGAGATAAATAGAAACAAGCTTACCTGGTCACATTTTTCAGAGAGACAATGGCCTCAAATGAAGAGAAAGGAGTTTTCCCTAGGAGAAGCCCCAAAGAAGGCCAAGTAACAAGCTAAGCCTCCAGAGAAACACTCCTATTTTCTGAATGGTCCATCAAAATAGCATGCACCTGTGGAGGCAGAGCAAGCTAAAGAGTGACAGAGCCATGCATTGCACCCAGCAGTGCTGGAAAAACCTTGATCCGAAGTGAGCCCAGGCCCAAGGCAATAGAAGATGCCCTTTTCCAGTTCAATGCCAGGGAATGCAGCTGAACCACACACTCAAAGGGAAAGTCCTGGCTTTGCCTGGTTTTTCCAGGCCCTTAAATGGAAGCACCATGAATTTTTCAAGGCCTGACCTGCTCAGTAGGCAGCAATGGAGAGTTCAGGAAAACAGTGTGTTACTGCATGATGAGCTGGAGGTCAAGCTGGCCTTGGATTTTACCAAAAGGCATCAGCTAACATATGGATAGTCCTTGTTTTTTTTCTGGGCCCCAGGTCCCCTCTCTGTCATGGAGCACTGAAGAAGCCACCATCTTCTCAACATGTCCCAGGAGCGCTACTTAGTTTTGGTTTTCCCAGTGACCCTCAGAGGGAATTATTAGCTCATTGTAAGATGAAATCCAGAGCCCGGGTTCCCTGGAAGCACCCATGGCCCGTACATTTGGAATGGTCAGTGGAGTGGTTCTCCTGGTCATCGTGGGGCTCGTTGGCATCTACTGGTCCAGGCTGGTCTCGGCTGCCCCACATGGCTGTCATCCTCCATCAGGCCAGCCCAAGTGTGTTCTCATGACTACAGCTAGGGCGCACAAGAGAAAGCAAGCACACTGATTGCACAAGAGTTTGGGTTGTCGCTGTTCAAGCTCTTGCTTACACATCTTTGTCACCATTCCCTTGACCAGAGAAAGCTCTATTGCCAAGGCCAAAGTCAAAGCCAGAGGATGCTGAAAGCCAAGGGTGACAAAGTGTGATGGGGCCAGGTGAGGTTCAGTGGCTGAGCACCTGCTCTGCATGTGCAAGGCCCCGGATTCAATCCCCAGCACTGACATGCGTATACTGGAGACCACTTTTACCATCTACTTCTAAACCTAGGCAATTCCAGTCACTGCTCCTGCATTTTTTTTTTTTTGTACATGACTATGTCTGCACTGTAAGGTGGCCGAGGTGATAGCTAAGTGTTCTTTCTGCAAGTGTATCTCACATGCCCAGGGGTGTCTGCACACACCAGCTGAAGAAACACAGATGAACTCAGATCCTATTTCCAGAGCCCTGAAAATTTCCCACAAGCCCTCGGAGGTGAGCCAGCCTGGTTGCTGACATGATAAACAAGAACCGCAGGAAGAGAATAAATCAAGGCAGAAAACAATGAGTCCATGATGTAATTAAAGTTACTGTGAAAGAACCTCTGAAGGAGAGAATGAGTCAACCTCAGATGTAAGCTGTGAATCAGGGAGTGCCATGTTGGAGAGTTCTTGGCTATTTCCAGAAAGCCTGATGTCCCTGCTGAAAGAGCACCTTGAGCCCCACGACATCTGGAAGGGAAACGCTCCTGTCATTCTAATGCCTCTTCTGTGGCCGCCACAGGCAGTGGGAGCAACAGGGGGAACAGGCAGAAGACAGTCAACACTGAAATCTCTCCAGGGAGAAATGGATAGATAAAGCATTGCTCAAAAGTGCTCAAGGGTACTTTAGTTTCACGGAGCGGATTTGAACAAGGTCACTGAAAATATAACCACCATAAACGTACATAAACCAGAGTCAGATATTCAAACCACACTCTGTGTAAATTCTGAGAAGGGGTGTGTGTGTGCCCATGCATGTGAAAGAGAGCGACCTTAGGTGTCATTGCTCAGGGACCATCCACTTTTTAAAGATTTATTATATGTACTTGGAAATGCCTGAATGTGTGTATGTACATTACATATGCCTGCTGCCCATGAAAACCAGATGTCAGATGCCCTGGAACTGGAGTTACTGTTGTGAACTGCCATGGGGGTGCTGGGAACCAAACCTGGGTCCTTTGCAAAAGCAGCAAGTGCTCTTAACTACTAAACCATCTCTAATCCCTATCTACTTTTAATTAAAAAAAAAAAAAAGACAGACTCTCTCAATGTCCTGGAGCTCACCAAGTAGGATAGGCTGGCTGGACACTGGCATTGGGATCACAAGTATATGCCATTACACTTGGCAGGTTTTTTTTAAGATTCTAGGAACTGAACTCAAGTCAACATGCTGGCAACGTTGGCAAGGGAGAGGCAGCCCCTTGGAGTCAGTGCAGAACACACCCAGACACCAAATTCTCAGCACAAAGGAGATTTATTACCCTGGAGGGGCAAGTGGGGTAGGGTGGGCTGCCTCTGGATCTGGCAGAGGCGGACAGCAAGCAGCAGCAGCAGCGGGTGTTTTTTTGCAGGAGTGGGGTTTTAAGCAGAAAAAGGGAGAGTCTATGCTAGGGTGAGTTGGTAAGTCCTGATTGCACAGGTTAGCCAAATAATGGATTCTGGTTGTTGGACCTTGGTGTTTTGTCTCAGGAGTGAATCAGTGGCCAGATAAGGGAATGGACCTTGGGGGCTAGCTTTAGGAAGGTAACCTAATGGTTTTTAGCAAAGGGAGAGAGAAGGGTAAAGGGCAAAACCTGTTGGTACCATGTTCCCATGCTCGAGCCTGTTAGAGAGCCCTGAGGCGGAGCAAGTACTTTATTGACTGAGAATTCAGGTAAGTTTATGAACTAAAACCAGAAATGCCTTAAAATGTAAAACAGCACATTAGAACAGAGCAGGTTCCAAGTGGGAGTTACAAACCTAGAAGACAGATGTCTAGAAGGTTCAGAGACTTCCACACAGGCATAAGATTGCAGGCCTGGAAGGGAAATTGACTCACCCTGCATGGAGGCAGGGTTTGGTTGGACAGCGTCCCTGAAGTCATCAAAGAGACTTCAATGGAGAGGAGAACTGATATCCAGAGGTGCCATAGACTCAGACACAGGTCAGGCAGGACCCTCCTAACTCCCAGGCCCGTCCCCAGCTTTATTGAGGTGTCATTAATAAGCTATGCTATACAGTGTAATGTGTTGATGTGTGAACCTAGTGTGAAACATTTGCCAGAGTCAACGGAGTTAGAATCCAGCACCTCACACTTTTTCCATGGTGTGTGTGTGGTGTGCATGAGAGTGTACATGTTTTTGAACATAAGTGAGCACATATGCATGTGCATGCAGTAGCCCAAGATTGATGTCAGGAATCATCCGTGATCACTCTTACACCTTATTCATTAAGGTCTCTCAGTCAAACTAGAGTGTACTGATAGGGCTAGGCTTGGCAGCCAGCCTGCTCTGGGGATCTTGTCTCCCCTTCTGAGTTAGAATTACAAGCAGGCCACCAAGGTCACTCTGCATTTACATGAGTTTCTGGAATTGGGGTTCCATAGAAGCCAGAAGAGGGTGTCAAATCTCTTGGAGCTGGAGTTACTGGCAATTGTGAGCCATTAGATACCGGCGTAGGACTCCTTGGTTCTCTTGTTCAAACTGACAGAGAACCATATTCGTATTATTGGTAAACGCATTGAAATTTTTAATTATGGCCAGCTGGTGGTGCTACCATCCCAGCACTTGGGAGGCAGAGGCTGGAGGATCTCTGTGAGGCCAGCCTGGTCCACAGAGCAAGTTCCCGGACAGCCAGGGCTGGTGCCCAGAGAAACCCTGTCTTGGCAAAAAAAAAAAAAAGTCTGTTAAAAAATAACACTGGATATTTACTGAGAGGCTGTGGTAGTCTGAATGTAATTCTGAATGTAATTGGCCCCCATAATCTCTAGGGAGTGGCACTATTAGGAGGTGTGGCTTTGTTGGAGTGGGTATGGCCTTGTTGGAGGAAGTGTATCACTGTTGGGGGCGGGCTTTGAGGTTTCCTATGCTCAGGATACCACCAGTGTTTCAGTCAGCTTCCTGTTGCCTGCAAGCCAAGATGTAGCCAGCACCACCTCTGCCTGCAGGCCACCATGCTCCCTGCCACAATGATAATGGACTGAACCTCTGAAACTATAAGTGAGCCACCCCAATTAAATGTTTTCTTGATAAGAGTTGCTGTGGTCATGGTGTCTCTTCACAGCAATAGAAACCCTAACTAAGACAGAGGCAGTATGTTTTGGGTGTCTTGGACAGCCTTGGCCAACAACTCAAAAGAGAGTTTCTTACAGCTGGTATTGGTATTTTTGTTAGGTAGCTCTTGGAGGGAGCACCATCAGTCAAGATGAGAAAAGTTTATTGAAACTGTATATGTGTATATATACATGGAATTCTGTGTGGTAAAGGTTTGTCTTTTTAGATAAATAGTAGTATTCCCTGCCGGTTTTTTCCGATACCCTTATTGTTATTTTGCCCGCCTCCCTCTTCCTGTATTTACTTCCTTCCCCTCCCTAAAGAATGCTCCCTTCTTCCATTTTCCTGATCAGATCACTTGTACCCTGCTAGTCTCCTCTCTATTGCGCCCCCAAATTCCTCAAAAAAATGTCAAAGAACTAGGTTAGGGATGGGGCTCAGTTGGTAGAGCACCTGCCCAGCCTGCAGAAAGCCTTGGGTTTGATTCCCAGAATCTCATAAGACAAGTGTTGGACCCTCGTAACCAAGAGGTTACACCCTCATAATTCAAGAAGTAAAAATAAGAAGACTGAGATTTCAATCTTGGGTCATCAGTTCTATAATGCTCAAGACCAGCCTGAGATACATGAGGGCCTATCAAAAGGTGGGGTAGGGGCAGGGGCTGGAGAGGAGGCTCAGCGGCTAACAGCTTATCTTGCTCCCCCACGAACTGGAGTTTGGTTTTGGTACCCATGCCAAGCAGCTTCTGGAGATCTGTTTCCCTCTTCTGGACTCCACCTGCACCCACAAGTGTACAAAACCACACGAATACACACCATTGTAAAATGATTTTTTTTTCTGGGGGGAGGGAGGGAGAGAGGGAAGAAAAATTGTAAGCATAACAGTGCATTTAATCCTGAAACAAGCTGAGAGGACCAACTCCCTCCATTTTTATAGGTAGAAGAAATTCCATGTCGTCCAGGGCTCTAAACTACCTGCCTACCTGCTGAGAGTCTCATGAACTGTACTTGGTGAGCCAGGATTCACACTCAGGACCACATTCTGTGCCAACTGCCACTCAATATTGGGGAATGACTTGCCCCACGTGGCCCCGATCTGCCACCTCTTACTGACACATGCAAGGCTGAGGGATGAGTGTTTGTTGGTTCAGGGAAACTGAGCTATGACCCTGAGCTGCTGACAGAATGTCTGATATTTATAGCAACTCACAGTCAAGCACTGGGGAAAGTGTGTTTTAGGCTGTTGCCGATGTCCTCAGGGGGAAAGAAACACATCTCTGTGAAAAATCGTGTGGGATGCTGAACTGATGGTGTATCAAACGGGAACGGACAACCCAATGGGTTTGCATTCCAGCTAAGAAAATAATGGAAGCGTAAGCAGCCAGCCGCTACAGACAGCATTCTTCAAATGCTTTGGACGTAGCCGTGTGAGAGGCCCCACCACTAGATGAATTGATAAATGGCCACCTTACACTCAAACTTTATGTATGCACTTATCTATTGGTTTAGGTCTGTCCTACTTCACCAGGGGTTTGAAACTGATCCTTTGATTGTGAAGATGGTGACAGATTGGTTACATTAGTGGCCATGTTTTTTATGCCTCCCTATGTCCTTGCCCTTGGCTAGTGTCCTCCAATGACTCTGGGCTGGATACGGTGACTTACTTTGGCCAGTAGGACAGCGATCAGCCTGAGGTAAACACAGCTTGAAAAATCACACAGTGGAGAGGCACATTGCCCTAGCCAAGGCTGACCCAGACCAGCCAGACTCTGGCCACCCTGCCAGGGACCACAAGACCCCACAGAAGCAATAGGATCTGGTCCAGATCAGCAGGACCACCCTTAGACCCATGAGAAATAGTAGATTATTCTTCAAAGTCACAGGCTTGGGGGGTCGTTTGTTATATATTAATAACTAATATGGGGCATGCATTGTATGTGTGTAATTGTGTGTGTGTGCGTATGCATGCATGTGAGTATATGCCTGGGTGAGCATATGTAGGAGTACACATGTGTAGAGGTGCATGTATGTGTACTGGAGATCAACTGTCAGCTGTCTTTATCAGTCTCCAACTTATTCTTTTGAGACAGGGTTTCTCACTAAAATTAGAGCTCACCACTAAGCTAAACTGCCCAAGGATTCTCCTGTCTCCCCGGCACTGAAATGACAGGCACATGCTACCACACCAGCTCTTACATGAGTACTAAGGATGCAAACTAGAAGCTTTTGCTTCCACAGGAAGTACTATACCCACTGAGCCATGTCCTGAACCCCAAGGGACTCACATCCTAGAAACACAGTAGAAAAACAGGTATCTATAGAGTGTGAGTTCTGGGAAGAAAAACACATATTAACATATGCTCCCCACCCACCCACTCAGAGATATTTACAGATGTCCCCTGACTTACAGTGGGCACACATAGTCACATACACCCAACATAAGTTGGAAATATCCTAAGTCCAATATGCCTACACTGACAAACACCATAGCTTAGCCTAGGCTCCCCTGAACATGCTCCCAACACTTCCATGAGCTGACAGTTAGGCAACACCCTCTCATGGAAAGCCTGTTTTACAATGGTGTTAAGAGGCATATCACATGTGATTTATCAAATACTATACTGAAGGTGAAAAAAAATGGTTGTGTAGGTGCATTTTCACACCAGGTAAAGTTGGAAAACTAAGGTAAATCACTGATGCTTCATACCTACCTGGACAGGATAAAGGAAAAATTCTATCAAAGACGTGAGCCCTGTGAAAACTGTTCATAGCCTCCCTCTACGAGGCTGAGCTCAAATGCTCTCTTCCTCTCAGAAAGTTCCCTCCCTCATCTTAGGGTCAGGTTGAACTGTTAACCTCTACCCCCCCCCACCCTTCCCCCTTGGGATACCTGAGATCTATATGTAGAGATCTCCCATAATGCCTTTGGTGTTGTGCTTGGGGTTATGGTTAGCTGAAAGGATGTCTGCTTCCTCCACCGATTGTAAAACTCCTTGGTCCTCAGTATTGTGTGGACCTCCATACCCAGCAGGATGACTTACACAAATATGAGGAATGTGTGTTTAAGTAAATGTGAGCTGGATGTGAAGAAAGCTCAAAGAGCTGTGAGAGAGGCCTTAAAAGAGGCCACAGTCACCATCTCATAGAATCCAGGTGTAGACAGAGGCTTTTCTCTGTTCTGCCCCAGCCCGCAGCCACTTCCAAATAATCACTCAGAAGCTTAATGTAAATTATAAATGTTTGGCCAATGGCTCAGGCTTATTATTAGCTAGCTCTTACATTTAAATTAACCCATATTTCTTATCTATGCTTTGCCACATGGTTCGTAGCTTGTTACCTTATTTCTTACATGTCTTGCTTCCCCTGTGGCTGACTGGCCGGCTGGTGTCTGCCCTGACTCCGCCCTTCTTGAATGTACATACTATCTAACCTTATTCTGCCTGGCTATTGGCCACAACAGCTTTATTTATCAACCAGTGAGAGCAACACATAGTCACAGAGTACACAAAGACCATCCCATAGCATCCAGGTGTTGTGTAGCAGTTCCCTCCAAGATTAAAACCTTATACTTTGGATGGAATCTCACTAAGACACAGGATGTTCACAGGGAGGTGAAACAAGAGGCAGGATGAAACATTCCCTCTTGCGGGGGAAGCCCATTAAACAGGGAAATGAACAACTCAAAGACTCCAGGAAGTCTCTGAAACTGACCAAATTCACTAAGCTCTCCCCTTCCCTAGTAGATAAAAACTTAAGAACTGTTAAGACACTCTTAGACTTAATACCACATGTACACACAAAAAAAAATAATAATAAGTACAATTAAAAAATGGTTTTCGTTTGTTTTTTGTTTTTTTGAGACAGAGTTTCTCTGTATAGTTTTGGAGCCTGTCCTGGAACTCAATATGTAGCCCAGGCTGTCCTCATACTCACAGAGATCTGCCTGGTTCTGCCTCCCGAGTGCTGGGATTAAAGGCATGCACCACCACCGCCTGGCAAAAAAAAAAAAATGTTTTAAGTGGATGCGTTTGGACTTTTGGGGGACCATTAAGGTAAAGCTACTTTTTCTCGTCCCAAAGAAGAGATTATTAATTCTACCTCTGTCCCTGGGTAGAGACTTGTTATGGCCTCCTCCATAGTGTCACATGGCTTTAATCACAGCACTGGGGGGGGGGGGGGGGGGAGGCAATCGGATCTCTGAATCTGAGGCCAGCCTGGTCTACAGAGCTAGTTCCAGGACAGCCAGGACTTCACAAAGAAACTCTGTCTCTACATAAATAAATAAATAAATAAATAAATAAATAAATAAATAAATAAATAAATAAATAAATAAATAAATAAATAAATAAATAAATAAGTAAATAAATAAGTAAATAAATAAGTAAATAAATAAGTAAATAAATAAGTAAATAAATAAGTAAATAAATAAGTAAATAAATAAGTAAATAAATAAAATGAAGTTAATGCAACTGTGCCCATCAGTCATGTGATCAAGGATTCTCCCCCTCACTCCAATCCCAGGAAAGCTACTCTTCAAACCCTGTCTGCGCAGGGGCTTGCATTGCTTCTGTAGTGCAGCACTACAGAGCCCGGGCGCAGAGCACTACAGAGCCCGCCTGCTTTTCTGAGTTACCCAGAAGAGTGCGGCTTTCCATTTCTCTTTTGGATGCTGACCAAAGCTTGGGTATGCTTTCCTGACACTCGGGGCTTTCTCACTTATTCTCAGAAGCTCTCCCCATCCCCATTTCTGTCATGTGACTCCGTGTTGACCACCACGCCCATGTCCTAATCCAAACAATGACTGTCTCTCTCCCTCTTCCCCACCTCCCTTCTCTTACCAGTGGCCCAAAGTACAAAAATATTTCCTGCCCTGCTGTTTTTCTCTCAATAAATTGTCCTTATTTCTCTAATAAAATTGTCCTTGAACTTCCTTGCAAGTTTGTTCTAAATTCTTTTGTTAAGGAAACTAAGATTTCAAAAGGAACCTCCATTTCCCTGGGAATATGGGCATGCCCCCAGTGACTTACCTCCTCCTGCTGATGTTTCCAGGACCTCCCAAGACAGCACTACCAACTGAGACCAGGAGCCTGTAGGGGGATAGTCCAGTTTCAAACCGTAACACCGTCCATGATAAATATTGGCTTCAAACCACAGACTAAAGACATAGCATGCATCCTTCCATCACAGGTGGTGTTGCAGGTGTCTCAGAACACCACGGAGCACCGTCCGTGCTTTGATATGAAGGTGT